CACCATGTTACCAGGATGGTCTCAATCTCCTGACCTCGTGATCTGCCTGCCTCGGCCTCCCAAACTGCTGGGATTACAGGTGTGAGCCACTGCGCCTGGTCTGTTTGTTTGTTTGTTTAAAAAAAAAAAAAAATGGAGTTTCGCTCTTCTTGCCTAGGCTGGAGTACAGTGGCACGATCCCAGCTCACTGCAAGCTGTGCCTCCCAGGTTTAAGCGATTCTCCTGCCTCAGCCTCCCAAGTAGCTAGGATTACAGGCACATGCCACCACATCCAGCTAATTTTTGTATTTTTAGTAGAGATGGGGGTTTCTCCATGTTGGTCAGGCTGGTCTCGAACTCCTGACCTCAGGTGATCCGCCCACCTCAGCCTCCCAAAGTGCTGGGATTACAGGCGTGAGCCACCGTGCCCGCTGGGTTTCATCATTTTTAAACCAATGAACAACAGGTACCAGAGTCTGATTTAGAAGCAGGGGAAGTTTCCTAGAAACACCTTAAACACCTTAAAACTCCTATCCTTTACTTCTTTGACCCCTTTCCACCAGCCACTTAAGTGCCTCCCAGAATTCCACCTTTACCATTTTTACCTTCTCTTCTTCTCTTCCTGGGTGATCCTATACAGTCTCTGGCTTCAACCTAAGTACCAGTGTCTCCAAAATTTGCAATCCTGTTTCTCAATATATTCCTAAAAACCAGCTTCTCATTTTCAGTAGCTGACAGAGAAGCTTCATCTGAAATCCCATAACAATGTATGTATATTTCTCCTCTGAAATCCAATTTATCTTTTTAAACTTGTTTTTCTTAAATCTCTCTTAATGGCAATAACATGGCATCAACCAGGAACCAATGGGAAAGACCAGGCTTCAATTGCTCCCCTGGCACTTGATAGCTGCAAGATCTTGGGCAAATAAATCAATGTGTGAAGATTTGGTGATAATGTCTGTTATCTGCCTGCCTCATAAAGTTGTTGCACTGGTCAATTTTCATAATGGTATAATGATTGCCCGGGACTGAGTAATGTATAAAGGCCAGAGGTTTAATTGACTCACAGTTCAGCATGGCTGGGGAGGCCTCAGGAAGCTTACCCATGGTGGAAGGGGAAGGAGAAACAAGGCATCCTATTCTTCAGGTGTCAGGAAGGAGACGTGCCGAGCGAATAGCAGGGAAGAGCCCCTTATAAAACCAAAGGATCTCATGAGAACTCACTCACTATCAGAACAGAACGGGGGAACCGCCCCCGTGATTCAATTACCTCCACCTGGTCTCTCCTTTGATTAGCTTATGGGGATTACAATTCAAGATGAGATTTGGGTGGAGACACAAAGCCTAATCATATTAGTTGTTATCTTTAATACTGGGCTGGGTGAGGTGGTTTACAGCTGTAATTCCAGCACTTTCAGAGGCCAAGATGGGAGGCAAGGCCTGAACTCAGTAGTTCAAGACCAGCCTGAGCAACTTGGCAAATCCTGTCCCTACCAAAAATATAAAAATTAACCGCGCGTGGTGGTACATGCCTGTAGTTCCAGCTACTTGGGACACTGAGCATGACAGGTCAAGGCCATAGTGAGCTTGATCATGAAACTGCACACTCCAGCCTGGGTGACAGAGCGAGATGCTGTCTCAAACAGAAAACAAAAACTAAACAAGATATCCAATACTAAAAACCTGTCGTTTTTGACTGCCTTTCTTTACTCCACCACATCCAACCTATTATTCAGGTTATCTCTCAAATCTCACCTCTTCTACATCATTGCCAAGTCTGGTTCAGGCTCCTTTCTTCCTTTACACAAACCCTACAACGGCCTCTTATACCAGCGTCAGAGTCTCAAGATATTCCTCCTTATGAATCACATTAAACTGCATTTTGAGTGTGTCTGTGTGAGAGTGTGAATACGTCTCTAGAGAAGTCAAACTACAACCTCAAAATGAGATTCTGATACAAGAATACAAGTACTGCACCTGCTTCCCCTCGTCCCTCCTAAATCCCCCTATCTTTGGGCTAAAAATCCTCTTTGGGGCCGGGCGCAGTGGCTCACACCTGTAATCCCAGCACTTTGGGAGGCCGAGGCGGGCAGATCACGAGGTCAGGAGATCGAGACCATCCTGGCTAACACGTGAAACCCCGTCTCTACTAAAAATACAAAAAATCAGCTGGGCATGGTGGCGGGCACCTGTAGTCCCAGCTACTCGGGAGGCTGAGGCAGGAGAATGGCGTCAACCCGGGAGGCAGAGCTTGTAGTGAGCCGAGATCGCGCCACTGCACTCCAGCCTGGGCGACACAGCCAGATTCCATCTCAAAAAAAAAAGAAAAAAAAAAGTCCTCTTTGGGAAATAAATGATGAGAAGCAGTGAAACAGGTAACCACTGCTCAAAATCCACCCTTCACATTCCCACCAATTCTCAACAAAGAACTTGTCATCAGTTAACTGCTTATAAGCCTTTATGGCTTCCCCATAAAAAGCCCTTCACAATCTGGTCCAACCCTTCGTTCTCAGCATCATCTCTTTACAACCCTCTACCATAAGATTCTTGCTTGAAAACAAGGCTGACCTGTTCCCAAACCAACCATGTACTTTTTCACATTTGGTTCTCTTGCCTAGGTGGACCTGTTCCCACTTTGGCTTGGAGAAATCTCATTTCTTCTTTAGTGTCTGTCCTATGAAAGTCACCGTAGTAAAATATATTTTCCAAGATGGTCGCAATAAGATGTCCCATTCCACATGTTCTTTTCACAACGTGACACGGATACTCCTCCCATCAAGGTTTGTTCTATGTCCCCTCCCTTAAAACCAGGTGGACCTGTGACTCTGGTAGAAGAGTTCCTATATGCTTCTAAGATTAGGTCGTAAAAGGCATTAAGGCGTCTGCCTGGTCCTCGTGGGATGTTCCTCTTCTAACCATAATTGTTATAGACTGAACTGTCCACCCCCCACCAATTCATATGCTGAAACCCTAATTCCCAATGTGATTATATTTGGACATGGGGCCTTTAAGGAAGTAATTAAGGTTAAATAAGGTCACAAGGGTGAGCCCTGTTCCAAAAGGACCTAGTGTCCATATAAGAGGAGTGAGAGGCACCAGGAGCGTGCATGCGCAGGCTAACAGTGAAAAGTCAGCTGGCTGCAAGCTAGGAAGGGAGGCAACATCAAAAACCAATCCTGCCAGTACCTTGATCTCGGACTATCAGCCTCCAGATCCGTGATAAAACAGATTTCTGTTGTTTAATCCACCTAATATGTGGTATTCTGTTCCAGCAGTCCAAGTAGACTGATACAATAATATGTGTTTTTCCAATAAGTGAGGCAGGGACCTTGCTTCACCCATCTCTGTATCTTAAGAACCTAGAACAGAACTGACACTAACCATGTAGCTGGTGAATATCTGCTGAATGAACGCACATAAAGCAAGGAAGGACAATTTAATCCCAGCACTTTGGGAGGCCAAGGTGGGAGGTTCGCTTGAGCTCAGGAGTTCGAGACCAGCCTAGGCAATATAGCAAGACCTCGACTCTACTAAAAAAAATAAAATAAATAAAAAATTGGTTGGGCGTGGTGGTGCTTGCCTGTTGTCCCAGCTACTCCAGAGGCTGAGGCAGAAGGATCTCTTGAGCTTGGGAGGTCGAGGCTGCAGTGAGCAGTGATTGCGCCACTGCACTCCAGCCTAGGCGACAGAGAGAGACCCTGTGTCCAAAAAAATAAAACAAAAAAAATTATAGCTAATATCGAATGCTTTTTAAAGCAAGCACCATGCTAGAGAGATTACATGAATTACGTCATTTAATCTTCAGGACAAGTTTGCTCTACTTTACCCCTCCCAGTCCCAACACTCCACAGAAAGTAGTAGTCTACATGGTAGAGGGCCTGCTTTTATGTGGTGGTTATACATAACTCTGAGGTCATGGCAAGAAAGTCAAATTGAACTGAGTCAGAGACTAAAGTTAGTGTTTACAATATCAACACTATAAAGGGAATAATTACATTCCCAAGGAAAAGTACAAAGAAAGGAGGCACTGTGATTTGGAAGAACCTTAAATATGCAACGTCACTGAAGTCAGGGGAAGAAAAGAGTTTCACGAAGAAGGACGTGTTCAATGCATGGAAGGCTGCAGAGAGCAGATAATGAAGACTCAAAAAGGCAAATCAGAGAGGAGCTGCAGTACAGTCGTGTGGTTTCCAGACTACACGGCGTTACGAAAGCAAGTGGGTAAAGGCAGAAATCACTCGTCTTCAAGAAGTTCAGAAGAAAGAGGAAGACGAGTGTTGTCAAAGTGGGTAAGGTCAAGTATCTTTGACTGCAAAACAACAGTCGCCAGAAGAGAAGGGGCTAAAAGTTGGAACGAGGAACAAGGCTCGGAGAAAGGTGTCAGACAAAGAGGGATTAGCAAGAAGCTGTTAGGGCTGGTCCTACCGGGATCAGAGAAAGGTGCAGAGGCCAGCCGAGTGGAAAGAGCAGCGGTGACGAACCGGGTTCCACTCAGACGTCCGACGCTTCTTGCCAAGGGGCCAGCGCGGACAGCAGCGCCTCCCAGGGACCTCTGGGAAGCCCTGTTTCTGGCCGGCTCCGCCCGACCTCCAAGGCGGACCTCGGAGGTTCAGAGACCCAGGCCCCGCTGGCACTCACCCCACTGCCACGCGGCGCCAGCGCCGGACTGGCCGCACGATAAGCGCGTCCCAGGCTGCCGCCAACCGGCCCTCAGGGGAGACGGGTCCTGGGGGCGCAGGCGCGGGCCCCAGACACAGCGAGCTCCACAGAGAGCGCAGCGCCGAGCCTGGCAGCTCTGGCTCCAGCAGGAAGACGCAGCCCACGGCCAGCGCCAGGAAGCCCGCGTACGCGGAGCCGCGCCACAGCGCCATGGGGACCGAGGCGCCGCAGCTGCGCGAACCGACTCCTTTCCTAGTCCGCGCCTCTTCCGGGCTCGGCGCGCGCTGATGTTGACACAAGCATACGTCAAAAGGGCGCGCCACGGGCTCCCCAAGGGGCGGGGCGACGGGCGGTGCCACGACGTAGCGGGTGGGGAGCCCTCGGCTCAGTCCGAGTCCCGGCACTGCGGTGTTGCGGCCCCGGAGGAGGTGGGACAATGGCAGTTGTGCCAGTCCGGGCGCTGCACCCCCCCCTTCCCGGAACTCTAACCGTATCCCCAGATAGAGGGATGGGAACACATTTGCTTTTCCAGTAAAACGAAACGGACAGATTGTGAAGACGCGGACAAACCTCGCGTTAATATTCGAATCAGTCAGTGTCTCCATTGGCACAGATCACACCCCCATCTTTTAATACCTCCGTCCGCCCCGTGTCCCCTCATTTACTAGACTCGTCCTCTTCCAGGCCTGGTGCTCGGCGCTTCTAAGAGGAGTAGGGTCACAGAACAACAGCGCTACCGAGACCCCTGGGGTACGCGAGGCAGGGGGATTCCGCCCCTTTGGAAGGTGGCCGAGACCCTCAGGCACTAAAGGACTTCGTCGAGACAGGAGAGCCCTCAGAGATCGGCAGAGATCGTCCTCTTCTGGATAACCAGAGTCCACAATCAAACCTTAAAATAACCCTTTTGGGGGCGCTGTTCCCTTTAGCAAACTCTGGAAAATGTACACAATCTTGTGCACAACACGAGAGTTACGGACCTGGGTTAAGGAAGGTTGTTTTCTTTTGTTCCCCCTTGGTGACATCACTTAAACCCAGCTCTCTCTTCGTTGATATGACTTTTCTGTGCATGAGGCTAGGTTGAGAGACAATGAAGCTAGGCTTGGTACCAGCTCATTCTCAGCAGCCATCATGCCCGGCCTAGTCTTGTTCCCTGGCCTGTTTCCATTTTTCCAGCTCTGTTGGCTCCTGACGTTGGCTTTGTGTCCAGTTTTCCAGTGTGACCCTGACGTTTGGAGTTGGCAGCGACACTTTATTTCCCTAACTTTGATCTTCAGCATTAGTCTTCATTCTCCTCAGCCCCACCTCATCAGCTTTTCTCCATCCTGGTCATCTACCTTCCCTCAGTTGATCCTACCTGGCCTACCTGACCATGCCATCCCTTTCGACAAAGATATTCACACAGGAAGAGATCTGGGCTACCTTGGAGAAGAAGCCAAAGAGCCAGTGAGATATTTGTGAAGCCATGAAAGCCATCTTCCCTAGAGTTGCCTGTCACTTCTCTCTCCTCAGGGAGACATGTCAGTCAGTTCCTAGAGAAACTGCTCCTTATCACAACCCTCAGCTGTCAGGTTTCCCTGGCACCCAGAGGGGACTGAGCCAGCAGCTGACCTGAAAACAGTGAGTCTGCTGACTGTCCAGCGACCATTTTCCTCTATTGAGAATTTTAACCAAGTGTCTGGTGTCTGCAGTTATTTGATATTAGCTGTGGACCCACAGTCACACAAGGCTGAAGGTCAGAACCAATTAAATATGTTTCCAAGGTGAAGTTTTGGGGAGCACAGGAAGCTGAACTGTGGGAAGGCCATAGAACAGACAGTAGATCTAGTCCTAGTCCTCTAGGAGGACTTTTGATTTAGTCACAGAGACGAAACAATAGCAGTTGAACCAAGTGGATGTTTATTTCTCATGTAAAAGTCTAAATGGGGTGTTGGCATGTTGTGGGCTGTGGCAGCAAGCTTGGCCCCCTCTGGTTGCTATGGGGGCTGCTCTGGGCCTCTTGCTGGTTGGTCCCTCAGTATGGGTTTGCATTGTGGGTGGTGAAGGGGCCAGACAAGGAAACGAGAGGGCTGACCTCAATTCCAACTGAGAACTGAAGAGTCAGGAGCCACAGGAGGTGAAGAACAGACCATCAGGGACAGTTGCCAGGCCTGGTGGAGCCTGATGTGGCTTCTGGTCACATACATAGTCACAGGGCCCTTAATTCCTTCTCATCAGGGGCTCAGGGGCAGGCATTCACTGTCTTGGTGCCACAGTCCCTCTTGAAATATTTCCTTAATGAAAATCAGAAAAGATTCTGATCATCTGTCTGTTCAGAGAGTCTGGAATCCTTTGCAAGCCAATTGTTTTTCTAGAAGTTAGGTTTCTGGGGACAATTAAAACAGCTCTGAGTGGGCAGCTGTGGCTTCATTGCCTAGGCTGAACAAAGAGGAAAGGGCTGGGCTGGGCAGACCTCAAGACACCCCCTGCCCCCACCCAAATGGCTTCCAGACATGGCCTTTGCTATTGGTTCTCTCTCCTAGGACCTTGAAATGAGAGACGAAAAGCAATTTTGTTCTAGAAAATTCAGAGGCAAATGGAGGCTCCAGGTGTCCCACCCAAGATCCTGACCTGGAAGACCAGGGAGCAGATACTGTGTTAACACAAAGACTTAGCAGAATCCTGTCAGCTTCCAAATTAGCTGAAGGTTTTGGCTTTAACAAAAATACCCACCCCCATGATCTGAAAGGCCTGAAGGGGCACATTTGTTCCCACATGTAGCAAAAACTAAAGTGGGCCCAAACAGTCCCTGTGAAAGCTGGGCTAACCCACTTTCCTTGCAGCTCCAGGCCCCTGCGGTTTCATCCAAGCTGCTCTTTGAAGGCCACGCTGTGTCAAAGCCTTTGTTGATGCCAGGGACACAGCCCACCACAGGCCATACCCAAAGGCCAGAGTCAGAGCACAATTTTGAAGGTTACAGAAAACTCCAAAGAAATTAAAGAGATGGAATAAAAGATCCCAGCACCCGAAAAGAGAAAGCTTTGTGTCTGTAACCATAGCCCTTGGCAATCAGACATCCTCCTCACTCATGTGAGGTCAGGAGGGGACTAGAAGTGCTCAGAGGATGGACTGCCTCTGGCCAGTGCAGGGGAGAGGCAGGGGTGTTGAGGCACAGGAGCCAGATGAGAGGAACGTCAACAGCAAAGCAGTAAGAAGAACATGAGAGTTTCTTGATAGTAATAGAACTTCCTACACAGACTGGGAACCGGGTTGTAGCTTGAGAAGATGTGACAACGTAGTGGCCTGGAATTTTCACTTTGGAATTAACTGCTTTGGACCAGGAAGAAGCGCTGAGCCTAGAAAGGCAGGAGGCACAGGACTGTGTGGGCTTCTGTCTGGCCAGGACCTATGAGCTTCATAGGGAAATGAATCAGGGGGCAGGATAAAGCATAGTCCTCTACCCTTACAGTGCTCTCTTAGCCATCTCAGGCTTCCCAGAACACTGCTACCAGGCTGCTTGCTGGAGCCCTTTACACTCACAGGCCTTCCTGCTTGCGTTCTCTTCTGCAGGCTGCATAAACCAGTCCTGTTGTAGACCTTGTAGCATCTGCTACAGTGATCTGGTTTGGGTTTTGGTATTACTTGCAATGGTTTGGAAGGAAATGGGAAGTTTGCCTTCTAACTACATTTTCTTTTTGATTCAAGAACTCTAGCAGTTCTACAACCACTGGGCCTAAAGCTAAAATAAAGGAAAAATAAATAAAAGGTAGCAAAAACACCTAACTGGTAATGGCCTGGCAGCATTGCCAGAGAGTCCTCAGGGACCCAGGCTTGTTCTGTCTTTTGCTCTGCCATCCCTAGGACAGCACAGAAGAGGCAGTACATCTTAACAAAATCAGGGTTCTGGAAGAAGGGAGAGGTGGTGAATGGTTGTTGCAAGCAATCAACAGTTCATACTTCAATGGAAAGAAGGTGGGATTTGATTCCTTGTCGCAAATCTTCACTCTGTCACCTGCTATCTGTGTGTCCTCAGGTAAGTCACTTAACTTTTCTGTTCTTCAGTTTCCTTATCTGCAAAATAATTCCTACTTTGCAGAATGGTTGTGGGAGGTAGAGTTATCTTAAGACAGTCTAGCACAGCGTCTGCTACATGTTGGAATTCAAAACACTCCCTGCTGTTGCTATGGTTGGTTCTGAGAGCTATATTTAATTTTCTTCTTAGTCTTTCTTGCTGGTCTGTCACTCTCTTACTATAAGGAAGACAGCCATTTCTGCATAGGTCACTATGCAGTAGCCTTTTCTATTTTTTGGCTGCTCAGCATCTATATAATATCCCACTGAATGAAAATACTAAAATTTATCTATTGTACTATGAATAGACCATTTGGAGTTTTCCCAGTTTTTTACTATTACAGTGTTGCTGCGTACATGCTGTGTTACATGTGTATAGCCATTTCTTCAGGGTAGAAACTAAATAACATTTCTGGGTCAATGATATGCCTGTCTTCAACTTTACTATATAATGTTTGACACCTTTCCAAAGCAGTATGCCAGTTTATCTTCTCACTGGCAGCATATGAGAATTTCTGTTGCTCCAGCTACATACACTCCAACAGATTCTTAAAGCTTTGTCATTTTGTAGGGTGTGTAGTGGTATCTTACTGTGGTTTTGACGTTTCTATTTGTTGGTTAGTTGCAAGTATATTGCCTCCCTCCCAGTCACTATTCATTCTCTTTATAATGTCTTTAGTGAGTAGAGTTCTATGAAAAATTATTCTTATTTATGTATTTTTGTAGAGATAGGATCTCTCTATGTTGCCCATGGTGGTTTTGAACTCCTGGCCTCGAGAGATCCTCCTGCCTTGGCCTCCCAAAGTGCTGGGATCATGATTGTGAGCTACCATGCGCAGCCTTAAAGTTCTTAGTTTTTTGTATAGTTAACATTTTGTTCTTTTTTTTATTACTACTTTCCCCTTATCATTGGTGCTTTTTGTTACTTATTTAAAAAATCTTCCTGTACTCAGGATCATGCTGGTATTTTCCTGTACAACCTTCTAAGAGCTATAAGCTTTCACATTTCATGTTTAGGTATTTAATCTACCTTGGAATTGATTTTTGTGTGTTGTGAGAAGAATGCTTATAGATACCCAGTTTACCCAGTGCCTTTTACTGGTCATTTCTCAATGACTCTGCATTCCCACCTCTGTCCAATACCACGTGTCTATGTATGTGTGGATCTGTTTTGGGGCTGTTCAGTCTGTTCCATTGGTCTATTTGTTTATCAACATCTCTCTGTCTTGATATCTGTTAATGTAAATTCTTTTGCCTTACTCTTCTGTCTTGGCTATCTTTGGCCTTTTGAAATTCCCATATACTAAAATAAAATAAAATAAAATAAAATAAAATTCCTATATACATTTTTGAATCAACTTGTTGCCCTCCCTCCCAAAAAAACCCAATTAGGATTTTTATCATTCTAGGACTATGGTAGATCCCTTCATTTATTTAGATCTACCTAAATGTCTCCCAATGGCATATTAGACTTTTTGTGGAGGATTTGTACGTCTTTAGTAAGTTTTATTACTAGGCACTTAATATCTTTAGTATGCTTATTGAAGTGGAATTGATATGCATTAAGCGCATAATATTTAAAGTGTGCAAATTAATAAGTTTAACATATGTATACACCCTGAAACTGTTACAGGAAAGGGATCCCGATCCAGACCCCAAGAGAGGGTTCTTCGATCCTGTGCAAAAAAGGATTCAGAGCGAGTCTGTAGTGCAAAGCGAAAGCTAGTTTATTAAGAAAGCAAAGTGGTGAAAGGACGGCTACTCCATAGACAGAGCAGGACGTTTCCGAAATTAAGAGGAGGAACGCATCCACCCTAGGTACAATGCTTGTATATATGGAGAGATGCGCTCTGCTACAAGGGTTTGTGATAAACTATTAATTTTCTTAATTATGATATTTGGCAAGAATCAATATTATTATCTTTAAAGCAAAATTAGGAATGCCTTTGTTCCCCAGATATTGAGATATCTGGACACTCCCAAGTCTGGGTCCGTTTTAGTAAACATTAATAATTTGTTCCCTTAACAGTAAACATCTAGAGGCTAGGAATGCCTAACTTTCTGGGAATTCAGTCCAGCAACTCTCAGCCTCATTTTCCTAGCCCTCACTCAAAATGGAGTCTCTCTGGTTCGAATGCCTCTGACAAAACCATCACTACAATCAAGGTAATATAGTAATATAGTAAACATATCCATCACCCCAAATGTTTCCTCATGGCCCTTTGTAACCCTTCCCTCTTACTCCTTCCTGCCCGTACATCCCCCCACTCCCTGTACCTAGGCAATCTGCTTTCTGTCACTATAGTTCAGTTTATACTTTGCAGAATTTTATATAACTGGGATCATACAGTACATAATCTTTTTGATGTGGCTTTTTTCATACAGCATAATTATTTTGAGATTTATCTAGGTTGTAGCGAATATTAATTGTTAATTGCTCTTTAAAAAACTTTTAATTTCAAAACAGTTATATACTCATAGGAAGTTGCCAAAATGGTAGGGTCTGTGTACCTTTCACCCAGTTTCTCTCAATGGATATATCTTACATAATTATAGTGCAGCATCAAAACCAGTAAACAGGCATTGCTGCAAGGTATGTGTATAGTTTTGTGCCGTTTTATTATATATGGAGATTCGGGTAATCACCACTCAATCAAGGTGCAAGAACTGTTCCATCACCACTAAGATCTCCCTCACGCTATCCCTTTAGAGTCACACCCAACCCCCATCCTCTACCATTTCTAGACCCTGGCATCCACCAATCTGCTTTGCATCACTCTAATTTTGTCATTCTGAGAATGTTATAAATGGAAGCATACAGTATGTGATCTTTTGACAGCATAATACCCTTGAGATGCATCCACGCTGTTGCATGTGTCAATAGTTCATTTTTATTTATTTATTTATTTATTTTTTTTTTTTGAGACGGAGTCTCGCTCTGTCGCCCAGGCTGGAGTGCAGTGGCCAGAGCTCAGCTCACTGCAAGCTCCGCCTCCGGGGTTCACGCCATTCTCCGGCCTCAGCCTCCCGAGTAGCTGGGACTACAGGCGCCCGCCACCTCGCCCGGCTGGTTTTTTTTGTATTTTTTAGTAGAGACGGGGTTTCACCGTGTTAGCCAGGATGGTCTCGATCTCCTGACCTCGTGATCCGCCCGTCTCGGCCTCCCAAAGTGCTGGGATTACAGGCTTGAGCCACCGCGCCCGGCCAATAGTTCATTTTTGTTATTTATTTTTATTTTTTGACTGAGTAATATTCTGTAGTATGGAAGTGTCACAGTTAGCTTAGTCATTCACTCATTGAAGGACATTTTGGTTGTTTCCAGTTTGGGGCAGTTGCAAATAAAGCTGCAATAAACAATCATGTACAGAGTATTGGGTGCACATATTTCATATCTCTGAGATAAACACCCAGGAATACAATTGCTGGGTCGTATGTTTAGTTTTTTTTTTGCATCCCCATAGGCAGCATATGAGAGATCCAGTTTCTTCACATCCTCACCAGCACTTGATATTGTCACTAATTTAGGTTTTGTTCTAATGGGTGGATAGTGACATCTGTTTGTGGTCTTAGTTTGCATTGCCCTAATGGCTAGTAGTATTGAGCATCTCTTCATGTATTTATTTGTTATCCATATATCTTCCTCAGTGAAATGTCTTTTCAGGTTCTTTTTTTCTTTTTTGAGACAAAGTCTTGCCCTGTTGCCCAGGCTGGAGTGTGGTGGCACGATCTTGGCTCACTGCAACCTCTGCCTCCTGGGTTCAAGTGATTCCCCAGCCTCAGCCTTCCAAGTGGCTGGGACTACCTGTGCGCACCACCACACCCAGCTAATTTTTATATTTTCAAGTAGAAATGGGGTTTCATCATGTTGGCCAGTCTGGTCTCAAACTTCTGACCTCAAGTGATCCGCCTGCCTCAGCCTCCCAAAGTGCTGGGATTATAGGCATGAGCTACTACTGCCGGCCGTCTCTTTGAGCCTTTTGCTCATTTTCTAATTGAATGGTTTGTTTTCTATTATTGAATTTTGAGAATATATATCATATATTCTAGATAAAAGTCCTTTGCCAGATACATGGTATGCAAATATTTTCTTCCAGTCTTTTCATCCTCTTAATGGAGTCTTTCACAGAATAAAAGTTTTTAAATGTGTTATTTTTTCTTCTATAGATTGTGCTAGTTTATTGCTTTTTGTTGCTGAATAGTATTCCACTGTATGGATATAGCGTTATTTATCTAATCATTTGTTGATAGACATTGGGTTCTGTCTAGTTTTTGACTATTAGAAATAAAGTTGCTATGAGCATTTGTGTATAGGTCTTTTTGTAGGCTTTAATTTCTCTTGGGAAATATCTAGGAATGGAATACCCAAATCATGTAACAGATGTATGTTTCACTTTTTAACAAACTACCAAATTGTTTTCCAAAGTGGTTGTACCATTTTATATACCTACCAGCATTCTATTAGAGTTCTAGTTCTTCTATGTGCTTGCCAAGACTTGGTATGGTAAGTCTTTTAAATTTAGTCATTATAATAAATATGTAGATATATCTATTGTCTTAATTTTTATTTTCCTAATGATTAATGATGTTGAGCATCTTTTCATATCTTCATTGGTCAAGTATCTGTTCATATCTTTTGCCTATTTTTATTAGATTGATTTTTTCTTATTACCGAATTAAAAAAGTACTGTAGATGCAAGTCCTTTATTAGACATGTGATTTGGAAATATTTTCTTATCTGTCTTTCCATTCCCTTACCTGTCATATTGGATTAGAGGCCACCCTACTGACCTCATTTAACCTTAGTTACCTTTTTAAAGACCCTATCTTCAAATACTATACAGTAACATTCGAGGTACTAGGGATTAGGACTTCAGCCCATAACACTCCCCAACAATTGCTCTGGACATGCTGGAATTTTTCATTCTTGCTCAGGGTGTGTTACAAATATCATAATTCTTTTCTCTGTGACCATGTCTCTCAGTCTCCCATCAAGGAGTGATGTCTCTTTCTCCATTTGAATCTGGGCTGGCCTTGCCAATAGAATATGGCAGAAGTGACATTGTTCTGGTTCTGAGTCAAAGCCTGAGGAGGCCTTGCATGTTTCCACTCTCTCTTGCAACCCTGCACTGCCACATATCAACAAGACTTATCAACAAGCCTGGGATAGCCTACTAGATGAAAGATATATGGCCCGCTTGCTCCCATCACTCCAGCTGATAGCCAGCCAACTCTAAGAAGCAAAGCCACCTAGCTGATTAGTAGCTGACCACTGACACAAAAGTAAGATCATCTGAGACCAGAAGACAGCCCAGCTGAGCTCAGCCCAAATTACTGACCCACAAAATAATAATAAATAAATGGTTATTATTTTTATGTCACTGAATTTTGAAGTGGTTTATTATTGAACAAAAGCTACCTGATATCCTTTTTTTTTTTTTGAGATGGAGTCTCGCACTGTTGCCCAGGCTGGAGTGCAATGGCGCGATCTTGTCTCCCTGCACCCTCCGCCTCCTGGGTTCACGCGATTCTCCTGCCTCAGCCTCCTGAGTAGCTGAGATTACAGATGCGTACCACCACACTGGCTAATTTTTTGTATTTTCAGTAGAGACGGGGTTTCACTATGTTGACTAGACTGGTCTTGAACTCCTGACCTCGTGATCTGCCTGCCTCAGCCTCCCAAAGTGTTGGGATTACAGGCGTAAGCCACCGTGCCCGGCCTACCCTTCCTAAGAGTCTTTGCTCTGGCTCTTACTTTCGTCTGGAATACTCTGTGACTTGATCTGTGCATGCCTGGCTGCTTTATGTCATTCATATCTCTGCTCAAATACAATTTCCTCAAAAAGGGCTATACTGACCAATCAATATAATAAGCCTGTAGGTCTCTATTGCTTCTTCCTATTTATTTGTTTATTTTTAGAGATGAGGTCTCACTCTGTTAGCCAGGCTGGAGTGCAGTGGCATGATCATAGCTCACTGCAGCCTCAAACTCCAAACACTTGGGCTCAAGCAATCCTCCCTCCTCAGACTCCTGAGTAGCTGAGACTACAGGTGCATGCCACCTTCACTGGCTAATGTTTTTTTTTTTTTAAATTTGTTTTTAGAGAAGGGGGTTTCACTATGTTGTCCACACTAGTCTTGAACCCCTGGCCTCAAGCAATCTCCTACCTCAGCCTCCTGGGTAGCTGGGATTACAGGTGTGAGCCACCATTCCCAGCTCCCTATTTTATTTTCTGTCTAAAACTTATCAATAGCTGATATTTTTCATTTATTATTTATTTGTTGTGACCTTACCCTGTTAGAATATGAATTCCATGAGAACATGGACCTCGTCTTAGTGACTAGATTAATGCCTGGCACTCAATAAATAATTGTTGAATAATAAAATAATGAATCTTTCAGCAACCACATTATATGGATGTCATTCTTTCCATTCTACAAATGGGAACTGGGCTGGAAAAGATTAAGTGACTTGCTCCAAACTGCACTGTTAATGGCAGTGGTGGTGGGGATATAGGGTGCTAAGATTTGAATCTCAGATTTCCAAAGACATACCATACTTTCTTTTTAAAAAAATTTTGTTGGGAGGCCAAGGTGGGCGGATCACGAGGTCAGGAGTTTGAGACCAGCCTGGCCAACATGGTGAAACCCATCTCTACTAAAAATAGAAAAATTAGCCGGGCGTGGTGGCAGGTGCCTGTAATCCCAGCTACTTGGGAGGTTGAGGCAGGAGAATTGCTTGAACCTGGGAGGTGGAGGTTGCAGTGAGCCAAAATCGCGCCATTGCACTCCAGCCTAGGCAATGAGCAAAACTCCATCTCAAAAAAAAAATAATAATAATAATTCTGAGACAGGAAGCAGGATAGACTGAAGCTGGTTGTGTCTATCTCCTTTTATGGCAATAGCCCTTCTTTATACCACAGACCCAGACCACAGTGCCTGGGCTAGGGGCAGCTAACATCCCAAGTGGTCAGCCCTTGGGGACACTGGCTCTCAGCAGCAGTGGCAGGGCCTGCAGGTTTCTCGTGGATGTTTCTCCCCGGCCTCCCAGAAAGAGCAGACAAATCATTCTCTCCACCTTGTCCCCATTCATGCTTAACATTTTTTTAAATGAATTAATACTTTTAATAATGTATTTCTAAATCTTTCTTTAAAGAGGCATTACAGTTTATTGTGAACAGATCTGCAAGCAAGTCAGCCTGACGTTGAAACTATAATACATGTTTTTCTTAGTTTTGGCACTATTTACTGTTTAGAACAATAGAGAATAACTTTTAAAATAACAAACGGATAGTACTTCACTGGGAACATCATCCAACAAATAGATTTTCTTTTCATACCACAAATCTACATATCTTTAGTCAAAGTTA